AGATAAACCATGAATTCTTAATTACTTTTTACTAAATTTTTACTAAAATTTAAGAAAAGTAAACATTGATCTATTCTGTAATGGTACAAAAATAGAAGACATCATTATGTTTGTAATTGATGTGTGATTTTAATTTACAGTATAAAATTGATATACAAAAGTAATATTTTAAATGACTTATATTTTCTTTGAATATCTTGTAACTATATACAATAATAATATAATTGTATATAGTGTGCAACATTCACATCACAATTTTTCTCCAATGGGTTTGATAATAAGTTCATGAACCTAAAAAATAATTAAAGTAGCTATATTATTTATACTAAATGTTTATGTCTAAAGAAATTATTTGATTTATAATCTATTATTGAATATTGTAAGTACTTAAAAGAAATGTTAAATAAACAAAAAAGCAAAAAAGAGCTACTTTTTACATTGAATTGAACGTAGCAGATTTTTATAAAATGTGAATTAATAAATAATAATAACATTTGTTAATAAATTCACTAACCTGCACATGTTCTGGTGTTCCCAGTGCATATAAAACAGCTTGAGAAACATCTTCAGATTTCAAGCTGGGATTATTAGCGAGGAACATTTCTTTTATCTCCTTGGATGGAAAAGAACCGTCAAAAATTTCTGTGTCGACTACTCCTGGGCTTATACTCTTTAAAGATGGTTAGCCAAGATAAATCATAAAATAGATATATATATATTCTTCTATTTAAATTTAATTTACCGTGACTTTGGTTCGGCTTTTCAAATAAATCATTTCTTGTCTGAGTGTTTCGGTTAAAGCAGTGACACAATGTTTGGATCCAAAATACATGTTGGCAGTTGGTGGTGCATCGCCTGCGGATGGAATGGAATGACCACCAATGCTAAAAATTTGGAAAAAAATATAAATCATAGAAAAATAAAATGTGTCAATAGATATTACTACCTGTTAATGTGTATGATATGTCCAGCAACATCTCGTTCTTTCATGGAATTAAAAGCTTCTCTGGTGCAATAACACAAAGCCATCACATTTACATCAATTACAGAACGGAGATCATTAGAATTTCCAGGATTTACTAGCATGTTAGCCCTATAAAAAATTATAAAAAACATAAAATGTCAAATTTTCATTATGTTCTAATATATAATATATAGATGTTTAATGAATATACATTATTATTAGAAGAAGTAAGTTGTATGCATATACCAGTAAAAATTATTCCATGAATAAAAAAAATTTATCTACTATCAGTTAAATACGGTATAATCGAATTTAATAGTTCTGAAATATAAAACCAAAAAATATCCAATTTTAGAATCTGTAGCTTCAAAGCTTATTATAGCCAAATATTTAATTCTAATTTTAAAATGCTAAAGTAGGATTTTCATTTAAAGTATGATATTTCCAATAATTTAAAAAATAGATATTTAATTTTATTTTTTTTACCTGACTATTCCAGCATTATTAACCAAGACATCAACACCTCCAAAGGTTTTCTTAACCCAAGCAAAAGCTTCCAAAATTTCTTCTTCTTTAGAGACATCACATTTTCTTGGGTAGTAATGCCCGCCCTTGCTAGTGTTCATTTTGGCAGCATCTTGCTGTTGAAACAATAATTAAAATAATATTAATAAATAAAAATATTGCAAATACAATGAGGAGAATAAAAACATAAATAAAATGAAAATTGATATTTTATAATTTTTGCCAGGGTTCACACAACCTAATAGACTCAGAAGAACAAAATTTATAGAAGAAGCCTCATAGTTTCATCATTAAATTTTGTAATGTAATATGTTTGTATTATCTTTCAAATAGATATGTTATAATTTCACAAATACTTCTAAGAGATATAATAAAAAATCATCAGCATTGCTCCAGTTACTGAATGTCTTTACAGCTCGTAATTGAAATAAACAAAACAAAGGTTAATTGCAATTTAATATTTAGCAATTTTAGTAGTTTTTTAAGAGTTTAATTTTAATTATAAATAAAAAACATCTAATTACCTCCATTCGTTCCAGACGTCTTGCCAATCCCACAACTTTCATCCCGGATTCGACCAGGTCTTTTGCAATGGCTGCTCCGATTCCGGAACTTGCTCCGGTAACAACCGCCACTTTACCTTGCCAGCGATCCATTTTTATTTAAAAAAAATCTTTAGAAATTAATCTTCAATCGAAACACTTGGTAGCTATTTAGATTTTAATTGTTTTTTTTGGTAAACATCTTTATATATTTTAATTCATATCTTAAAATAGATAAGTTATCATGAAATAATTAAAGGTTGCATGGAAGTATTTGATTTTTGGCAATGATATTGACCAATCGCTGTAATAAAATTATTTACAAATTAGGAATTAAATCTATACTCGGTTCTAGACGATTTGGTAATATTTTACAAAACAATTAAACTAAGCATTTACAGATTATACATTTATACTTACTTAATTACTTATATTTATATAGATTAATTAAGTATTTTACAGTGTTATATGGATAATTATTTATAATTTTATTTTAGTACTTTGTTTTTGAAGACCAATTCGTACAATTAACAAATTAATTAACTATTAACTAAGGATGCTACAATTAATCAATTTACAATACTTTTAGCAACACTATTTATATTTGCAAATAAATAAATAAAATATTTTTTTCTAAAACTTATCTCCAATAGGTCGTATAGTCAGCTCATGAACCTGAAAATTTTATGATTTAGGTAAAAACAAATGAAAAAATTTAAATGAAATCCAAAATTGCGTACCTGGACGTGTTCTGGTGTGCTCAAACAGTACATAATTGCTTGGGAAATGTCTTCTGGTTGCAAATGTGGATTTTGGTTGAAGAATTCCTTACGATCAGGTTCAGGAACTATATCGTTCAAAATACCGGTATTTACCACTCCTGGACTGATACTCTAAGAAAAAATATAATTGATAAATGATAAATATAGGCAATATTAAATTCATTATTTAATTAAATTATAATTAAACCAATATATAAAGAAAAAAATGTATTAAACCAATATATAAATAAATAACTGAAGCGAATTATTAATCGAACTAAGAAATCGAGCGTAATGGCATGTGATTAATTAGAAGAACTAGAACCTAAAACCAGAATTAATAAAGATGTTTTAATATAATTTTTAATTCATCTACACAAATATCTAATTTAAGGGTAGCTTCTTATAATATAAATTTTTAAATGAATTTAACTCTATACCAATGCTTTAAAAGAGAGCTAATTTTTTGCTTCTATAAATATGGCCCTGATTATTATTATATTTCTCTAATTATGGACCTTGATTATTACTAATAAATATATTAAGCTTCTTACCGTGACTTTTGTCTTACTTTGAAGATACATCATCTCCTGCCGAAGTAATTCAGTTAAAGCAGTAACACAATATTTTGAAGCTGGATACATATTCATTGTAGGTGGTGTATTATGGTTAGCAGATATCGAATGTCCATATAAACTAAAAAAATAATACACAATAAAAGCATATAAAATAAATAATTTTCCATAAATCAATTACCTATTGATGTGAATTATGTGTCCAGCAACATCGCGCTCTTTCATAGAATTAAAAGCTTCTCTGGTGCAGAAGCATAGTCCTAATACATTGATGTCTAAGACTTTTCGCAAATCTTCTGCATTTCCAGGATTCGTTAACATATTTTTTCTTAAATAATTTGTCATTAAATAATAATGAAGCATGAGTATAAATAATTATATATGTGTGTGTTTATTAAAATACCTGACTATTCCAGCACAATTCACTAAAACATCAACGCCACCAAAAGTTTCTCGAACCCATTTGAATGACTCAATTACTTCACCTTCTTTAGAAATATCACAAGCTTTTAAATAGAGCTCACCAATAGTAGATTGCTTTGATGAGAAAAATGATAAATAAACAATATAATGGAATTTAATAAAATGTGAAAATAAGGCATGGTAATAATGTATTCACCTCATTTTTAGTTGCTTTAATGTCTAATCCAATAACTTTCATTCCTGCCTTCAAGAGGTCTTTGGCCACAGCCTGGCCAATTCCGGAGCATGCTCCGGTCACCACAGCTACTTTATTCTGCCAACGATCCATGTCTTGTGATAAAAAAATTGCAACAAAATATAATTTTAACGTATACAAATAGTTTACACAAGATCGTCATGAAAGTACATACAAAACAAGCAAATTTAATTTACATTTCAATATTTTTTATTTAAATTAATAATACTAATACTAATAGTACCATTAAAAAATAGTATGTAATAATTATTACTTACCTCGATCAAAACACAGTTCACAGTATTTCAAACAAACGCTCTAAATTTGCTTATCAATGTTGTTTACTTTAATTTATGTAATCTACAAAACGATAAATATGTAAGAAATTACTAAGCAATTAAAAGATAATTATAGTGCGCCGGTACACAAAATTATGAGAATCGAAACTGGTTGTGTTGGTAAAAATAAAAAAATAAAAAAACTTATATATAATATTATAATTTAAATTATTTATACAATATTATATTGAACTAATCTACTGTTTTTCTAAAATTATTATATATTTTTTAAATTCTTATTCAAGTCACACATTTTTTCATGTTGAATACACAACGTCACGAACAAGACTAATGAAATTAAATCGTCCTCAATTGAACGAAGCAGAATATTTATTTAGAGATTTATGAGCACAGGATTTTTAAAAAAGTATATGATATGCCTTATAAAATACAATTTTCATACTGCTGAAATATATTATCAATTCAAAAAAAATATCTAGAACTAATACGATTTTTAGTTCAGTAAGATGCATTTTTACCATTTTTTTAGTTTTTAGTACAAATTTTACCATTTTTTTAGTACACATGAAAAAATACAGATAGCATAAAAAATTTAATTATGCAACATATATTTATAATTGGAATAAATACAAACATAATATTTGATAAATTATTATCATTATTTTCCTACAAACCTTTAGAATTTTTCACCCACTGGTCGAATTGTGAGTTCGTGAATCTGAAAACAAATCAAATATGAAATAATTTATTCTAGTTATATTAAAACAATATTTTATTACCTGTACGTGTTCTGGAGTTCCCAAACAGAACAAAATAGCCTCTGACACATCTTCTGGTGATAAATGTGGATTTTGTTCCAAAAATTGGGCACGATACTCTTCTGACACAAAAGTCTTTAATATTCCAGTGTCGACGACTCCAGGACTAATACTCTATGATAATAAAAATCACAAAAATATTTTTCCTGTTGTTAATTTTAAATTATAAGGAATAAAAGGTTGTATAATTACCGTTATTTTAGTTTTATTTTTCAAATATATCATTTCTTGTCTAAGAGTTTCGGTCAGGGCGGTTACACAAAATTTGGATGCTGGATACATGCAAAGTGTAGGTGGAATTTCAGGGTTCACGCCAACATGATGTCCAGTCAAACTTAAAAATAAAAAAAAACTATTTGTTTATCATTGAACTTAAACTACTAATAAAACTATAACATTTCAGGCCAACTACTATTTGCCATTGCTTTGCTAATAATTTATCAATATCATCCACACTGCTGTATCAGCCAACTCTAATGACGACTATCATACAATTATTTTCAAATTATGCATACCTGTTTATATGGATGATATGACCACTAACATCACGTTCTTTCATGGAATTAAAAGCCTCCCTGGTAAAATAGCATAAACCAAGAACATTTACATCTAGTACAGCACGTAAATCATCAGTGTTTTTTGGATTCGTCAGCATATTCATTCTAGACAAATAGACCCAGTTAATAAAAAAACTTAAGCAATAATTATTTCACGTGCTTGAAATATAATTAAATATCTGACTTAATTCACCTGTTGATCCCTGCACTATTGACTAAAACATCAACTCCTCCAAAAGATTTTTTAATCCATGCAAAAGTGTCCAGAACTTGCGGTTCTATGGTGACGTTGCATTGACGTGGATGAAGTTCACCGCCTTTGGTTTTATCAAGCAACTCCGCATTTTTCTGCAAACACCAAATTTATTCTAATATAATTTTATTATAAATTTTATTATTTTATCGTACCTCCATAAATTCTGTTTGAAGATCCACGCCAACAACTTTCATGCCGGCTTTGACGAGGTCTTTGGAGACCGCGGCACCAATACCAGAATTGGCACCAGTGACCAGAGCTACCTTGCCAAGCCAACGATTCATACTGAAAAATAATAAAAGAATAATAGTATTAATTAATTAAATTAAATGTAATTGATTTTAAGTAAATATTTCAAAAAATAATTTGAATAGCTTCAAAATATTACATAAAATTGTTCGGTTAAGTACTTATTGCACCTTCACTGTGACTGAAGTATTTTATTTTTTTAGTAAAACAAATATGCCTGCTTGTTTTAACAATATGCATAAATATGATAAATATGCAAAATTATTGGAAATGTTTAATAAACACATTTTCCGCATTACCTTTATGCAAAATAATATTTATAGATAAATATAAAAAATAAGTTTAAAAATAGAACAATTATGTAATATATAATATAAATATATAAGAATCCTTTTTGAATAAATTATGCATACCAATTAGTTATTTTAAAAAAATAATTCCCTAGATAAAATATATAATAATATTTCATTTTATTAGTTTTTTATATATTTAAAGCCTGAATTTAATAAGAAATAAATAAAATAGAGAAATATGCCAAAATAAAACATAAAACTCTGATTGATATGGTACATTAATATTTATAAATATATCATAATATTGATATGATACATACATTTATTATTTATAAATACAAAATTACGATAGGTTATAGCAGAAAAATTATTATATTCATTTGTAGTTTTTATATTTTTCATGGTGTATAATATCAAGAACAACGCAAATTTATATGTATGTTTATTACCTAAAATTTGAAGAACATTAGATTTTTTTGTTAGATATTCAATTTCTTTAAAAATTTACATTTTACCTTATAGCTATTTTTCTGATTATGTAATATCTCCTTACATAACAAATAAATCATTTTTATAATATATTTTCACCGACTGCTCTCACCATGATTTCGTTCACCTAAAAATATTTCATGCAAAATTAACTACAAATTATGATTAAAATATTTCTTAAAACATAATTTGAAAAATAATAAGTATCAATATTGTAAATTTTTCACCTGAACATGTTCAGGGAGACTCAAACAAAATTTAACACAATTCGATACATCTTCTGGAAGCAAATGAGGAAATCGATCTGTAATTTTATTCTTAGTTTTATCAGATGAGAAATTTCTTGTCATATTTGTTGATGTCAGACCTGGACTTATACTCTAAAATGTAATAATAACCGATAATTAACTTTATTTTTTTTAAACAGAAACTGCATAATTTAATAATTACTATAACTTTAGTTTTGTTTTTCAAGAAAGCTATTTCTTGTCGTAAAGTTTCAGAAAGAGCTGTTAGACAATATTTCGAACCAGCGTAAATATTTGTCATTGGAGCAATTCCTGGGAATGATAAAACAGAATGTCCTGCCATGCTGAAATAAATAATTTATAATATTGAATATATCTAATAACAATGACTTTTATTAATCTTACCTATTAATGATAATTATATATCCAGAAACATCACGCTCTTTCATGGATTTAAAGGCTTCTCTTGTACAAAAACACAATCCAAGTACATTGACTTGTAATACATCACGAAGATCATTTGTATTTCCTACATTTGTTAGCATATTCTTTCTACGACATGATATTTAAAAATTTACACATTTATTTTTACTACGTCACATAGGATTCTAATTAAATTTTGTGAACATAAGTTGTAATTATGATCCTGATGTGTGTACCTTATAATACCAGCAGAATTGACAAGAACATCCACGCCACCAAATTTTTGAGAAATCCAAATAAATGAATCTATTACTTGTGTTTCTTCACTTATATTACAAATTCGTGGATAAAGCGCTCCCACATTTGATCTACTCATCTTATGAGCATTTTCCTGCAAATTTTTTGAAAACAGTTGTTATTTGCAAGATTTTAACGCACATAACAGAAAGAGTTACCTGAATAGTTTGGATCTGAAGATCTAAACCAATCACTTGCATGCCCAATTGTGCAAGATCTTTTGAAATTGCTGCGCCCATTCCGGAATTTGCTCCGGTTACAACAGCTACTTTTCCAGTCCAACGATCCATTTTTAAAATAAATTATTAGAGGTAATTTAATAGAACAAATCTGAGCCTGGATCTAAATCTGTTGAAAATTGATTAATAACAACAGATTCATTAAAATGAACACAATTATTTATTAGGTAATCAGTTACTAACAGCTAGAGGTAATTTTTGTGAAGCAGAAAAAGACAAGAGAATTCACATACCTTGTTATTCTACCCTCAAAGTTATAATTTAATAAAGAAATATTATCAGAAAATAATATTTTACAAACAATGAAAGAAAATGTATAGTTTATTTCTTCAATAAGATAATACTTCTCTGACAATTTTGTTCTGCATTTAACATGTTTCTGGAAATTTAGTTTTCAAATAAATGGATTTTATTTCACAATGCAAAAATATAATTTCATGTAAATATTTTAACATGCTGATAAGATAATAAAATTATAAGCATTGCAAAATTTAAATTATGCGTGCCATTCAAAAGAAATATACTGAATATATCTACACTTCCGATTCATAATTTAGTTAAAATTTCTGTAGTTTAAATGACATCAGCTTCATCGATGTTTTTGATCTATTTTACTAAATCAGAATAAAAAAAAATTAAAACAATATTGAAGCTACCAAACCTTTATTATTTATATTTTTAATCATCACAATATTCAACCAATTTGAATCTTTATATTTATATTACATAATGTTCCCTTCATTTAAATTTTGTACTATAAGATTATTATTAAAACTTCTCCCCGACAGGTTTAATTGTAAGTTCATGCACCTAAAATAATTAAACCAAAATAAAAATAAATAAAAGTATAGCACAAGAAATTTTAAGCTAATTTTAATAAAAATCAACTGACCTGGACATGTTCAGGTGTACTTAAGCAGTAAAGGACAGCTTGAGAAATGTCTTCTGGGTTAAGATATGGATTATATTTTAAAAATTCTTGCTTTTTTTCTTCATCCATTGCTGCATCGAAAATTTCCGTTAAAACTACGCCTGGACTAATACTCTGAAAATTTACATAAAAACATTTCGTTTAATATTCTTCGAAATTATTTATACTCTAATGCTATATATAAAACGAACAGTGTTATAAATATTTTTTTCTTTTGCATAGTTTTATTGCCAATCAAAATAAAATACATTTTTTAAGGCAATAAGCTGGTTTGCATGCATTTAAGAAATTATCTCCTATGAGATATATCTCTTGTTTTCTATTTTTTGACAATTATTTAAGATCGTATGGCCATTTTAGTATTATAAATATAAGAAAAAAGTAGTATGATTTAAATATCCAAAAACAACTATAAACGTTAATCATCCAGATGAACATCGACACATCTGGAGCTTTGTATTATGTGCACTGTTCATTTTTGCATTAAAAACATATGTCTAAATAGGATCTAAAATTTTAAATACTTACAGTAATTTTAGTTTTACTCTTCAAATACATCATTTCTTGTCTAAGTGTCTCAGTAAGTGCAGTCACACAGTGTTTAGAACCAGGATACATGTTCATGGTAGGAGGAACATTTGGAACCAATGGTATCGAATGACCAACCACACTTAAAAGTTAAATTATTAATATATCGTTGGTAGTAATATATTGTAATTAAATTGTTGGTCTTCAATAAAATTTGCCTAGTTACCTATTTATGTGAAAAATGTGTCCAGCAACATCACGTTCTTTCATGGAATTAAAGGCTTCTCTTGTGCAAAAACAAAGTCCCAGCACATTCACGTCTAATACACTTCGTAAATCATCTGAATTACCGGAATTCGTCAACATATTCATTCTGTTAACGAAAAACAGTAAAATCTATATTTTTATGTAATTTATAATAAATGTTTTTGTATGTAGGTATCTTTTTGTCTACCAAACTATATGAACATTAGTGTTAACGCCAGAGTACTCTAAATGATTTTTTGAAAGCATATGTAACAATTAATATTATTACAATATTGGAAATAATATAAAAATACGATAACGTTAATATACAAATGACAATCAAATCAATTATGATGAAACACGATAATTCATTTAATTATCAATTATAAATTCACCTGACGATTCCAGCATTATTAACCAAGACATCAACACCGCCAAGATTTTCTTTAATCCATGAAAATGTATCCAATATATCTTGTTCTTTGGAAACATCGCATTTGCGGGCATAAAATTTGCCTCCATTCTTCAGGTTCATTGATTGAGCGTTTTCCTAATAAGAAAAAAATGATAATTGATAATTTGAACTGATGCGTTATCAATTTAATTGTATCAATAGATAATATTCAATGATTCAATGTCAAGTTTAGTTTTGTACGATATTTTGGACGAAGCATACAATACTTGTGTTAAAAAAATATGGTTTAATTAAATAGTAAATAGACTGGTGTGCGACCTGAATGGCTTGAAACGTCGAGAAAAGCAAAAAAAGCTCCTTTAAGAATTTTTTTATTTATAATGAAAATGTTCATTTATATACATTATTAATAGTTGTAATTTTTATTATCTAAAAATAAATTATTTTTTAAAAAAATATAAAATATACCTCCATTTTTTCCTTTCTTCTTGCCAAGCCCACGACCGTCAATCCTGCCTCCACAAGATCCTTAGTAATAGCTTCTCCAATTCCTGCACTTGCTCCTGTGACAACAGCTACTTTTCCTCGCCATCGTTCCATTTTTATTTATTTTTAATCACTTATTAAATTAATAAAATTAAAATAAACCCCAGATTACTAATTACTTCTCGTACCTTTTGATATCACAAGCAGACTATACACTACTGAATATTTCTGATATGTGATTTATACAAGGTGTTGCTGATATATGATAAATCACAATGATGCGATGTCCATATGAGAATCTTGATGGAGATAATTACACCAAAAATTAATCTGTCCTTGAATTATATTTTTGTCAAGTCATAGGTATACGAGTTTTTGCGTGATGCCTTTTTAATATCCAGAAGTGTATACGGAAGTTATGTAACATCACTTACTTAATATTCGGTTATCAAGAGTACGCACGCATGATTTATAGAAGAAATGTATATATGTAAACGCTAATTATTATTCCAAGTTCGAAAAATTTTGCACTAATCTGCTAATTACAAAGAAACGGCTCGACCGATCGTCGCTCAAAACTAATCGACGCGAGTCCCTTGCTGATTCATCAAATATCCAGATGACTGATAAAATATTTCAACTTGTACAATTATTTGAATTAAAAAAATATTAATATTTTATCTAATTCCAAATGCAGCAAGGATGGACGAATCAGGGATCATCTATTTTTTTATGACCGTATGCAAATACATAACTTATTGTTAGTAAAAAAAGTCTGTACAATCTGTATTAGTAATAAATAATAAATAACAATAATTTTTAGAAATTAATTATGTATTTACTTACTTTTAAACCAATTTTCAAATATTTTAATATTTACCGAAAATACTATTTAAATATTTTAAGTCAACTCTCATTTTTGACTTTAGTTCTAAAAATTTCACATTTTCCTACATCAATTCTTCTGCAAATTGAGAAAATATAAACAAAGACGTTCATTCAATAAAATAAGTTTATTGAAATGCCACATATATATTTTAATCTAATAATAATATTTATTATGAATGGTGCAATCTGGGTGTTTTAATGAAAAAAGCGATACGGGTCAATATGTATTAGCAATGCAATTTTTAGAAGTTTTCTCCTTGAGGCCTTATGATCAATTCATGCACCTAAAAATTAGATAATAGATAATTAATCTAAGATGATTCATTTGATTTAAATGAAATCTAATTTTATAAAACATCTATACAAGAGATTGATTTAACCGCATCCAATCACATGAACTAAACTGATTTCATTTGAATAAAACTAATTATTATTTTAATATATTTTACCTGCACATGTTCTGGTGTGCCTAAACAATAAAGCACTGCTTCAGAAATATCTTCCGGTAAAAGATGTGGAGTATTTTTCAAAAATTCTTCAACCTTTTCGGGTGTCGACTCTTTGCAACCATTTCTGTTGCAACAAATCCTGGACTAATGCTCTAAAAGGAAAATAATAATCATTGAATTGCAAAATAAAATAATACTAATATAAACAATCATTTATATTATAATGTATTATTATTAAGCATACCGTAACTTTAGTTTTATTTCCCATTTTAATCATTTCTCTACGTAGAACTTCAGTAGAGGCAGTGCAGCAAAATTTTGTACCAGGATAAATATTTAGATTGAATCCAGGAATTTCAGGGACCCAATGGCCTAAAACACTAATTAAATATAGAATGTAAATATATGTAATATTTATTTAAAATATAAAATATTTATTGATATTGTTTTCTTCCAACTTGTTCACCATAATCTGTTTGAGTGCACGGTTTCTGAGTGTAATTATAATCTTATTATAATCTTATACCATATATAAGTATCTGAATAAATCTTGTTCTGCCCTAATTTCAAGTTATTCCAAAGTATCATATTTCCCATAATTTATTCTCACATTCCATTTATCTCTTTAAGTAATTACTGTACGCATGATTTGTGCAAGTATGACGTCAATTGCAACAAAATTAAAAAGTAATAACATGGTTTGAAGAATGTTGCACCGACTATTAGATCGTCACATTTCAAGTGTGCAGGTATATAGTTACATATAATAATTATTTTTATCTGATAAAATGTAAAAAAATTGGTGGTAGATTGAACTAAAAATGTACATGTGATGACAAGGGAGTAATACTGATAAAATCTTTACAATCTTACATTTTTTCTCAATTACGATATTTTTATGTTCAAAACCCATTGTATTACAAAAACTAAACTTACCTGTTAATATTTATTATGTGTCCAGCAACATCACGTTCCTTCATAGAATTAAATGCTTCTCTTGTACAGAAGAAAAGACCAAAAATATTCACATCCACAACACTGCGAATATCATCAGTATTATCAGGATCGGTCAGATTCACATTCCTAGAAAAATTAATACCATCTAAATTAATACATTCAGAATCATCATCAAGTTTAAAAGTTAGTAAAGCAAATGCGTACTTTGAAATGCCAGCATTGTTAACTAATACATCAACTCCTCCAAAAGTTTCTTTGACCCAAGCAAATGCATCCAGGATGTCCTGCTCTTTTGATACATCACATTTAACTGGATAAAATTCTCCATCATTGGATGTATCCATTGAAGCTGCATTCTCCTGAAAAATATTAAATTAACAAATGAAATCAAACATAACCACTACTTGATATCCGATGCCTGAACAGAATCTAACCCCTGTGACTTAGTTTAAAGATAATAGGTACTCTACTTGAACCACAAACAAGCTTTTTTACAAATAATAGTAAACCTTCAATTATATTTTCTTACTTCCATTTTCTCGATCCTCCTAGCAAGTCCCACAACTTTCATTCCTGCTTTAACCAGGTCTTTTACAATTGCTTCACCAATTCCTGCACTTGCACCAGTAACCACTGCTACCTTACCTTGCCAACGATCCATCGTGAAATAAATGGTGAACTGCAGTTAAAGATCTATAATATTCATTATTTATAAGCAAACCTTCATAATCATAATTATGAAAATATAAATACGTAAGCTGCATTTTGAGTACAATGAATATTTATTACAAACATCAGAATGTGTATACACGCAGTTGATAATAGACTATTACACTGCCCATCAAAACAATTACCAGAAAATGTTTACTAAATAATGTGCAGTAAAGGGCGTGCAGAGAAAAAAGTTAGTGAAGAGAATTATTCAAAAATCATTTTTACAATCCGGTATGAATAAAGATAATGTTTTTGAGAATAACACAGATATTTAATTTTCATATAAATTACAAGTCGTCTTCAAGAGAAATCGAGTTTGTTAATTGACCATGGCTTTTAAACCTAATAAGACACAACTATAAAAAAAGTATAATTTATAACATTTTTAGACTCGAGATTAATTCATAAGTAATAATTCTTTCTAAGTAAATTGATAATTAACTATATATCAATAATTTTTTTTTAATTTTATTATTTCTTATTTATGTGATTTATACTTGTAAAATAATAAATCAGAGAAAATATACGCCAATGTGTTGATTATGTTTACACATAAATTAGTTTTCGTCACGCTTACCAAAAAATATTATTATTCTTGCATAAATACATACCTTAGGATAACTAATACGTCCTTATAAATAAAATATGTAAAACAAAATAAATTGTAAGTTAATTTGTAAACACATGTGGTTCAGTGAATTTGTTTATGGAAATATTTAACGATAACACATAAACTTTTATCAAGTCATATTATTTATAATTATCGTTTTATAATATGTAATTATAAATCAATAGTTTCACAAAATAAATGAACATGTTTGGATAAATAAATTATTCTGAATAAAACATAAAATGATCCTATTTCTTTTGCATTGTTGGGATGAGCCTAAATTGATGAAATAAGACAAAGATTAAAATAATAGCTAAATTTGAACGATAAATATGATCATTATTTCAAATATTCAGATTTTGTTTACAGAGCAATTTTTTAATTCTTAAATTTAATTTTTAAACAAGCATTTATATGTATACTTAATAGAATATTGCTTTATAATATCAAAATCGTCATGCCTATTTTTCTATTTATATAATCGATCAGTTCCCGTTTTTTTAAAACTATTTTTATTTATATGCTATTAAATCAACCAATAATGAAATAACTCGTTAGATATTCTATACACGTTTTATTGGCTTTTATGAGCATTTATCCACTTAAAATAATATAATTTTTAATATACTATTATATTGTTCCAAATGTATTTTATTGAAATTGTATCATATTGATTTTTCGTATACAATATTTTTATATCCATTTCATAGACAATTTAAATTTATACACGAATATGAGATATAAAAATGTACATTTTTTACCGGTCATTCATCTATTGAAGTATTTATGAATACTTCTGCTATAGAACTCTCACTTGTATAAAATTTTTATTTAGCAATGAAATTTGCTAAATAAAGCTTATAACTGTTTACAATACCAATCACATTATTTATAATTATTTAACATTTATTATAAGTTCATTTAATATTGAAGTAAATATCTAGTACAATCAATAACATTAAGGAATTTCTCGAAATTGTACTACATTCCTAAACACATAACCAGAAGGACCAATTTGAAAATTTAACCAAAATTTTAGACCAAAATTTAACTGGTATATACCTATATTATTATTATAATAAAAGAAAATTAAATTCAATATGAGTTATACGATATATGAAATATATTAATATAATATTTGAAATAATTAACATTGAGACCAATGCTATCCTTCACCCTATGGCGGATCCAGGGTTGGGTCAGGGGGTTATGAGCTCCCCCCCCCTGATATAGAACACTAATTTAGCAATAAAGTTACTTTATAATGATTTTAATTATGTATTTTGTTACCAAACGCATTTTATAACTTGAACATATAACTTATTATAGACGAACGGCGGAGTCAAAGACTTCTAAAATTTAAGGATTTTCTAATCGTATTGCGAATATATGTTCTATACATAATTTAATTAGGTGACACCCCCTGGTGCCTATCTGGATCCGCCACTGCCTTCACCATGTTTAATTCAATTAAAATAAAAACTTATGAACGTGTACATAATAAACAAAGTAATAACAGCAATGTTTATAAATTAAAATCTTCTTATATTATTATTAGTAAATTTGATTTCTAAGGACTATATATTATGAATAAAATGAATTTACAAATATAATTTGCAAGAAATATTTGTGTCACTTACCGGACGCAACTCGCAGTAGATGCACACTGCAACTGCAACTGATTGTGAGAACAGAACGTCATACTGGCTGCAACATGCAATAATGCACTGAAAATTCAAACTCACGTAAATAAATGATCGGCTTGGTCTTATTTGGCATTGAAATAACGCACACTGCCATACATATTGCATAATAGTTGGTCAGTAACCATTATTGTGCCTTCTCAATTATTTTTAACTTATCGATTGTACATACTTTGTTATTATCGAATAGGATGTGATGCATTCGATGTGCTATTTAAATGAGTTTTTAATAGTACTAGTCATTATAGCACTTAATTACAGCAGTTAATTATACTGCTATAATAAGTCTGTGTCTATTTTCATATATTAGTATGAAATTAGACACAGTAAGGATGTCTCATTAGAATAAATTCAGCAAAGGAGTAAAGGGGTTGGGAAAAGTCTCGTGCAAAATATCATATGAACTTATACAATATAAATTCATGAACACAAATATAGAAACTTTGATTAATCAACTATTCGCTTTATAAGTACTAGTCACTATCCATTGAATACATATACACATAATTATCTTATTAATAGCAATTAGAATTAACCAGTCCTATTAGCTCGTCAACTAATTTCTTAATAGAATTGGCTTATATGTGGCAACTAAAACAATCTTACTTATTTTTATATTTATTCATTTATATAAACGCCAATCGACTATGTACAATGAATTTATAATATAACACTAATAATTTCATAACTTAAACTACTAATAAAAAATTGAATACTAACATTTAATATATAATACACATACACTTAATGCATATTACTTTGGTAACATATAATAATTAATTGCACATATTATTTCATTATATAGATGCACTTTAAGGTATTAATTTTTTAGCTTTATATTGCTTACTACTTTGGCTAATTTATTTAAAGGATTGCAATGCATGTATTTTTATGGTCTTAATTGTATTAGATCAAAGTCCTTGTCATCTATATTTGATAATTTTTTATTATTACAATTTCTGGAATACAGATAATTTTTTTTAGTAAAGTTATCAACTCCTGGTGAGAACTATTTTGACTTGAAAACATACTGCTATTTATATTTCCCAGTGAAAACCGATGTCACTACTGCTTTACATCAAGCTGTCCGTGGTCGACATCGAATTTGATGTCCCTGTTTTGAAAGTCCACTAAGGAACACAGGGAAGTCAAAATATAAATGTAAATTACAGGCCAAAAATTATCAGCCATGTAAAGATTCATACAATTTATAACATGTTATATTAGATTACACTTTTTATTTACGGTGAACTAAGTATGTTGGCTTTGGCAATGAAACTGTTTGAAAAATAATTGCCCTAAGAAATGAATTTAATTTTCAACACAAACTACACAAAAAATAATAAGATAATCATTAAAATTAGATAATCACTAATATCTAATAAGAGATAAAGCCAAAAAGATTCTATAATACACCTTTAACAAAAAAATGTTTATTTCTGTGTATTTTCTCTTTATCATTCGAAGTGGTCCTGGTACTATCCTTAATAACTTTAATTTTGCAACAACAATGTTCCAGGATCAATTCCAGTCTCAAGCAGCTTGATATGAAGCGGTAGTTATATCAGTTTTATATACTTGAAAATATAGATTTTAATATGATTTCAAGTCAAGTCTTCTGGGATCTGGCTGAAATATTATATATATTAAATATCTATTTGAAAAATTTAATAATCCCAAAAAAGGGACAACCATTTGGGTTGTCTTCAAATAACACATTATATTACAATATTTTTTGGCGAATTTTGCCGCCAAGGATATATTTGATTGCAATTCAAAAATCATTCAAAGCAGTTTTTGTTTTTCTATAATTTATTAACATGCTTATAAACATACTAATTAAAATTATAATCTTCTATTATCAAATTAAGGCAATTTTTTGTGATATTTATTAGAAGTCTAGAGATAAACTAATGAAAACATATCATATATTCATTCAATTGATAAGGATAAGGCACATTCAATTTAATCATATCATTATGACAAAAATTTTGTGTTTATTTAGTTATTAAACTTTGCTTCTAATAGAAATATTTGCGACTTATATGTTCATAATACGCATCGTGTGCCTAATCTTTGTGTACGAATAAGTGTGTTGGAATGCAAATTTTGCAAGGTGATTCCATGACTTTTTAGTGATGTTGCTAGAAATTATTTTAATTTTTCCTTAAACAACCAGCTAACATAGTCAGGATTTATTAAAAATAACATTTGCTCAAAACATTATCCTAATTCAATCCCATTACAACTGGAGCTCTAAATGTAAATCACGTTTGTAGATAATTGACGACACACATTCTACACCGGCAAATTTAGTTCAGCACATGCGTAATATTTCCTTATATACGTAGTAAGAAGTGACATTTTATTTTGACGCACATTTCTGTCGTAATTGAACATCTTTTACAAAATAATATAAACTGAAATGTTAAAAATTACTAGAGCTGTTTTAAGAAATATAATACGTACAAGTTCCGGATCATCTGTCGTAACTTCTGGAATGGGCGATATTAGTTCCGGTATGGTGTAACACACATACAAAAATAGACATGACTTGAATCACAAATCACATGACATAAATAATTAGAAATTTTTGTTAATCATTTTTAAACGAAACTGCTTCTGCACAATATAAATGGTAAAAGATGTATTTTAATTATAAAAAAAAATAGCTTTTTTAACAACAATCTATCTGTCAAATTCAAGAACTTTGACTCAACTGAACTTGGTTGTAAGTTATATTTAATTTTTCAAATTAAAAAATGGCTGAACTGGGATTCAAAATATATAAAAAAAATATATTTTTTTAATTTCGTTTATATCTGAATATAGTTTGCCTGTTAAAAACCTATTTTGTTTATAATTATAAAAACATGATTGCATATGGAGAAAATTATGATTTTCATATCTGCATATTTTACACAGAATGAAATTACGCATAAATAATACGTCTTGATTCATATATAGGTCAAATTAAAAATACCACTTTTGATTGTGTATTTTAAGCATGTGTTTATTTCAAATTTAGCTTGGCTTACATTTACAATATACATTTGGCAATCGATCTGATAAACTTGATCTTTGTATAAATATTTGACATTACTGCCCGACATTTTTTTTAAGTATGCGGCATAAAATATAATTTGTAAATTCGCACAAATACTTCAACAATATTATTCACACTAGCGTAAGCATAAACTAATACACAAACGTAATTCTTTTAATACTAAACCACCTCCCATATGCATTATCGCAGAGATTGACATTGAGCTCTATAATTAGAGTTAGATCACTATAGTATCGTCATCGCCATTCATCGATACGGTAAAGTAACCTTTAAAAATAGTTTGCTGTTTTGTGGCCGAAAGTAAACAATAATAACATTGAGTACAAATATTAGAAGTGAAAAATATTGTTTTTAGTATCGAGTAAGAAATTAAATACTACCATGGAGGATAAAGAAGCTTTGAAAAAGAGGTTAACCTCTATTCAGTATCATGTTACACAAGAAGCAGGGACCGAGAGGCCCTTTTCGGGTATGTCAAACTAATGTATAATTATAATTTCACAAAAAACATCTTTATTTATTGGTACTTACATTTTTTGCATAATTTCACTTTTCACTATTTATAGGTTAAAATTGAAATTAACCTCACATATTAAAATATTAATATGATAAAATCTATAAAAATATTATATTTGATTATAATGAAGTTAGCTGTTTAGCTATTTAGATAACTTCACTATTATCTCAAATAGCGCTCAATATTTAAATTTACAATCAGCAAAATGTCCATGTGCTAATTTTTATAATTATGACTCATACCAAGTTAATCATAAGAATTACTCATATGTATTTAAATAGGTATTTACCTACATTAAATAAATCATTTTCAGGGTGCTATAACAAGCATAAGACTCCAGGTACCTATCTTTGTGTAGTATGTCGTCAAGAGTTATTCAGCTCTGATAATAAGTTTGATTCGGGCTGTGGATGGCCCGCTTTCAATGATGTACTTGAAAAAGGAAAAGTTACTTTACATCATGATACAAGTCTAGGTAAGAATCACAAATTTTATATTAATATTGTTTTCAAGTGCTTATATTTGATTTAATTAATAGAGCAAAATTTGTGTGTTTGCTTATAAAGTTGAAGAGGAGACCACTTGGAATATATAAGACTTAATTGACTAGTGATACATATAATTTGAATAACTTAATATTCTGCTATTTCACATATTATATATTGCATCAACCAATGACCGTTTAAAATAATTAGAATATATTTTCCATATATCTAAAACTTGAATAACTCTTCTGATTCACTATCAGTCGTATTGTTGAAAAACTGAATAATTAGGACATTCCAAATTACAGAATTTTATGAAAGATCCAAGTTCTGGTCCTCTTCAATATATTTATATACAACTATTGATCAATGTTTCACTTGCCAATTTTGCTTTGTTGTTTTTACTAGTTTTTATGTTAATATAAAAGCATATTATTTTAAGATTTGCATATGTTCCTCTCAAAATCCTTCCATATTAATTCACTATCCCTGCTTGATTGTGATTGTTGTGTAGTGTGAATATTGTAGTATCACTTTGTAAAATTATAAATTCCATTAACCAATTTATAGAATTGTACTAATAGCATGCCCTTGCTTGTTTTACTTTCTTTCCAAAAACAAGAAAATACGTTGATTAACATTAGCATGAGTTTAGTTTGAATTACTCATCTTTTTTCTGGTGAAAGTTAAGAAGAAATTTCTAATGAGGTTTGTCTGTCTTTCCTTCATTTCATTTTCAATCCTTTCCTATACCAAAATCATGTCTTGTGTGAATGCTTTTATTATCTTATTGGTATTATTTTTTTTCTTTTTATTAACAAAATCTATCTATTATTTGTTATATCTGTGTGAATGTCCTAATAATCTGTGTAAATATTTCATGAATGATGAAATCCTTTTCTGTCCAATATCCCATTATCCTTCTTACCGAATAAAGTTGGTAGCAACCTCTTATTGCTGATATCACGGCCAGATATGGTACGCACCGAAGTCCGCTGTGCAAATTGTTCGGCGCATTTGGGTCATGTATTTGAAGATGGTCCAGCTCCTACCAGGAAAAGATATTGCATTAACTCAGCAGCCATGGACTTTGTGGAAAAGGAACAGAAGAGCTGAAATTATGAACTATAAATTGATATATTAAGAATATACACCTAACCCAATGGAAGATTCATAATTTTGAAACATTATGCAATACAAAAATATTAATAGACTGTGCTTACTTATTATTCGGACTCTTCTAAGGAATGCTTGCAATTTTTTTCAATGCTGATTCATTCATTAACATCTTCTATGGATTAGGTTTATAGCTAGATTGAAAAATTGTTAAATTGAACTTCCATGATAAACATGACATTTTTGTAACTAATAATTTATATAACCAATATAATATAATAATGTGTGCTAAATATATTTTTATAAGATAAAAGTTGTGTTAATTCCAATCTGATAAGCTAATACTTGTTATGAATTTAAATTATTCAATATGTACTTAATATACTCCTAGAAAACATAATAAATTATGTTAAATAATTAAAACATATATTTAATTTTTATGTATTAACGCAATGCATGTTGTTATGATAAAAAATATTTCTTTCATTAATTTGATTTAGTTACTATTTGCAATTAAAGAAATTTATATTTTCAATAATTTATTATTAACTCAAAAGCAATAGAAAATAATATTAATATAATTTTCAATATTATATTTTTTATGAAACCATATACTATCAGAAAATACTATAAAACCGATATATTAAACAAAACTTCTTAAATATTTTACATTAGATTTTACAATAATTACTATTCATTATTAACATATCATGCAAAATAATTATATGGTATTATGTGAAAAAATTGAAATTTCTATAATTTTTACAGAATTTTTCGAATTCTAAAAGTTCTCATTAAAATATCTATGAAGAAATAAAATTATGTATGGTACATCATACAATTAACAGAATACTTTATTATTTAAGTGTTAAAAAAAATCAATAATTATGTATTATGTTTTCAATTTTTGAAGTTTTAATATATATTTTTATTATTTATTATTTTTGGTTAGGCACATTCTGACAATAGCCGCAGCAGTCAATTAGTTTTAAAAATACATTTCTCATATGACCATTTCATACCAAAAAATATACAATGCGGGGTCAGAATGCATATAAATAAACATGGACAGATTAAAAAAAAACTTATTTCTTGTAATAATATAGTTTCATAGTATTTGTCCATATTTTGTACTATTATATATTAAATCAATGCTAAACATATTTACTGATGTTTAATTGAAATATAAATCTATGCCAGTCTTTTTTCTGACTTATACTCAATATTAATTGTGACATTCTTCTTAATCAAATTAAAACCAGTAAGCGTATTTACATTATTGTTAATACAATCGAAAACTAATATAATAAAAGCAACTTGTTTAAAATTATTCAATAATACTTTGAGCCTTTACTTTTTTGCGACCCTGTTCAAATCCCACATTCTTACAGAAATGAAATTCTTTGTAAATTGATTTGCAGTTGAAACTGGATAAGTTTAATAACTAAGTTTTAATACTTTTTTCTGTTGTATATACACATTTTTGTTCGAGCTTAAAGTTCTTAGGTTTATATGTACATTTCTGATTTTTCTTCAGTACATTTACATAAAGGTAAATCTATCACAGTCAATATAATCTTGTTCAAAGATTTTAATTATCTGATAGAATACCTTCAATCTGCACATTGTCAAGTGATTTAATAGTATGCTAAATATTATAAAAATGTGTTAGCAAGAGTATGATATACATTGGCTTGAAATTTTAAAATATTGCTGTGATCAATAATAGTGAATCTTTCATCTATTGATATATCAATATAAGTAAAAGAATATTATTCAATTGTAGATTAATTGGAACTATTTTTTAGTAACAGTCGACAATATGCAGAAGCTTTTGCAAATAATTGTCAAAAAATCATTAATAAAGTTAGGGTGATAATAAAATAAATTATATAAAATATAATTCTCTTTCTCGATTCATATACTTTACTACTGTCTGACTATCATAGTTGAAAACATACTATAATAAAAATTGTGGAGAATTGGTAACAAGACATCTTTCCAATTTAGAATAACAAATAGATCTTACCTGTTCCTTTCCAAATTTATAAAAACATCAAAATACACACATATATATCACATATGCATGAACACTAGAACATTTCTCTCATTTTAGAAACTTATTTATCATTGGTCCTTAAAAATATTTCATCACTATATCTCACTGTTTATGTAAATGGTTGGATTCCAAATCAGTTGATATTAAAACTTAAACACTGAACTAATCTAAAAGAAATGCTAATGGCCTTTTGCTGCTTCCTTAGCTGCCATTATAAGTGGTGTTAAACTTGCTAGCGGCCGAGCCAACTTCAAAAATGGGTGCTGTACAAAATACATAGAATAATATTGTATTTTCATTTACTTTTTATCTGCAAAGATGAAACTTACCTTTAATAATTCAAGTGCTGTGGCTCTCCTTTCAACTTCCACTTCTAAACATTGATCAAGGAAATCCCTGAATACAAGACTAAGTTTTTCTTTTTCCTTAATTTCTGGTTTACCATTAGTTGCTATAAGGTATAATGCTTTTAAAGGGTTTTCATTTAAGTATGGAGGTTCACCTTCAATCATTTCAATTGCCATGATTCCTAGTGACCATAAATCAACCTAAAATAATAATAAATAATAAATAATACTGATCATTAATATATTGCTTTTATTATTTGTACCTTAGGCCCATATAATTTCCTAGTAACAACTTCTGGTGCCATCCAATAAGGAGTTCCAACCATTGTTGTCCTTTTATTTTGTTCAGGAGAAATTTGTGCACAAAAGCCAAAATCAGCTGAAAAGAAAATCAGACTATAATATTCATTATAAAATATATTTCTTAATTCATACGTCTGCTTGTGTTTGCCAGTATTAGATTTTTACTATAAATAAAATAACAGCTTACTTAATTTAACACTTCCATCCAGTCCTAGCAGTATGTTATCACTTTTTATATCCCTATGTATTACTTGGTTAGAGTGCAAGAAATCTAATGCTTGTAGAACCTCTCGACATACAGCAGCAATTTGTCCTTCGTCCATGCAAGTTTCAGTCACAACATCAGTCAAAGACCCTCCTGGAAGATACTCCATAACAACCCACAATTCCTAAAAAAATATAATGTGATAATTTGCTAATGCAAGAGAAATTGTTGGTAGAATATTATACAAACCTCTGAAACTAGGTAACTATCCAAATAATTCACAACATTAGGATGTTTATTTTCTCGCATGACCAGAATTTCATTTATAATTAATTCTTTCTTAGGTTGTTGGGCTAAATGCATTTGTTTTATAGCCACTTCCATTCCAGTACTGGTTTCTATTGCAGTATACACAGTTCCAGAAGCACTAAAATATTAAAATAATATTAGTCACTGAAACAAAATTTTGCTTTATATATTACCTTACCCTTGTCCAATTTTCTCCATTCTTGTATATTTTCTATTCGGATCACCAACACTAACTATAGTCCTAAGCCTTTCTAGAATTTCTTCATCTGACATTTTTTTAGGTCGTGTTTGTTGAGGCACGCGTGTTTTATTTGTGGGAGTTTGTTGGGCGGTGGTTGTAAGAGTATTATTACTGTTTGCCGTATTATGAACAGGTGATACTGCAGCATTTTTATTATTGTCCAATGTTGCTTTCAGCGGTAGAAGGGGTGTTATGGTTTCTTCAACAGGCTTGGTATACTAAAAAGCATTATATGCAGTATAGTCAAAAAAAAACAAATGGTATAAATATTATTTTTAGTTTCATTTACTTACAATAGATTTAGTTCTTTCAGGACGGCTAGCAACGGGTGGAGCTGGAGGTTCGTCTAAATCACGATTTTCTGATATCCTATAGGAATCTGGTCCAGAATTAACACTACTTTGAACCGGTAGACTACATGGTAGTAAATTACCACTACCACCTTCACTATCTGTTGGTGTTGTACTGCTAGGGGAACTAGAGCTTACACGACTCAGGGAGGAACCTAAAAAAGAATTATTTTATCAAATCAACAAAATGGCCATAATAATAAAAATAAAACCAATGATTTTATTATTTTATTACCAGAATGTGTGGTTGTATGGCCATGTGTCATATATTTGGATGTGGGACTCTGCTGTGAATTGTCGTACCATTTTAAAACATCTAAAACAGCTTGAGGATTTTTCTTTTGTTCTTGTTTTGTTATAGTACTAGATACAAGTAATTTAGCCCAGTCCTCCGGCATGCCCTGTAAAAAGCAATTCTCAGACTTGATAGAAGAAAAAAAAATTCATACACAAAAATTAGACATTGGATAAAAAAGAAACAACTTCCATAAAATTAATGTATTGGGATAGTAAGTTAATAAATGAATAACAAATTAACACAATACAGCAAATGATTCTTATGGATATTCCTTTTATGATATATTTAGAAAAATAATATATCCTGATTAGTCTATCCAACACGTAGAAATTAATGGAATATATATCTTCAATGTAATATTACAACATAAAATCATGCTGTCAGCAAAGGTTAGTAATTATTTCATAGCAAACACTTAACAATCAAGCGTACTTACTTTTAAAGGCAGCTTGAAACAAAATACATTAAAATCATTATGAACGCAGTAACAAAAGCCAATTTCAGCGATTAAATACTAACATTAACAATTAGCTAACAAAAATAGAATTTAGCAGCATTTGATATATTAGATTATTGGTGATAATTTTTCATATTATTCAAACTACATTATGTTAAGTCAGGCATATCACTGTGTGGTTATTTCTTTGGTATGTGAATTATACGTAATATTTGATATAAAAATAATTTGTAACAAAGAATGTATGTATTTATATATGTAAATAAATTTTCATATACTTTTTGCATGTATGTTCACATATATCAAATGTTAACAATTTAAATATATACATTTCAATGTTTCATATAAATATATATGTGAGTACATGTAGAAGTAAAATTATTTCCATTCATTTTTTGTACGATCACATTATTGCTTGTTATAATGTTAGTCATGAGGAATGCAAATATATTGAATATTTGTACTTCTAGAAATTAGTATATAAAGAGTCTTAATGAGTGGGATACTTACAAAAAGTAATAAGTAGTGAAACTCATTTGAGTAATATTTTA